ACGATGCTGACATCCCTTCTCCTAGTGGACTAAAGCCCATTTGTCCAATATATGTCTCACGAGATAATATGCTATTACATCTGTTTTATAGAATTATGAGGCAGATTCAGATGCTGTCATGATATAAAAGACTGTTTCCTTTAGATATTATTGATTAATTTATTTTTGTGAGTGAATATATTATTGTTATTTAATTTTTGTTACAATAAGAGTTAAAAGCAGATGATTGTAGGAAGTTGTGTTTATAATTCATTGATGTTGAGACTATCGAACGTCGCGTGCAATACATTGACGTCCAGAATATATAGATTTCTAGAAGGCGAACAGACAATTAAGTGATAAACCTATAAATAGTGTGATACGAGCGGAAACAGTAGACAGACAATAACAGAAGAGAGTAAAGTTACGGGGAAAGAAAAGTTCGGCGTGAAGTTAACTACCATATAAGCGACAGGCCTAACGGTTAACCTAGGTCTAGTGTTTAATATGTTACAGTAAGACTAATAGTATAAGAGGAGATAAGAATAACAATTTATTCCGTCAAAGCGTGGTTCTAAAGTATTTGAATCAGCCTGGGTGCACTTTGACAAAAGGAATAGAGGATATTTTGAAGAAAGAAGACCAAATGATTACGTATCTCGCGCCACAATTGTAAGTGAATCACACACATAATACTAGTGCGATAGTAATAGAGACGATAGTTCAGCTTGTCAATTGAAATTTAAAAGTAATTGAATAGGCCTAAGTGGATTTTTGACAACAAGAAGAGAACTATATATATATAGTGTCTATGATATGCCTATAATCTCTTTAGTGTGAAGAATTGATTGTACATACGTTTAACTGTTCCAAGTATATATATATTAGTTTGAAAACAGGTGAAGTGCGTGCTGTTCATTTATCGTTGGATTTATCGCCAACAAGTCACATACACCTGCTGCAGAAGAATCCTAAGCCCAACAACAGCATAGGATATATTTATACTATTACAAAATATAAGTAAAAGCCTTTTATTTCAACAATTAGCGAAATAATTATATTTATAAAATTTTGACAGATGCACAAGAAAAAGCAGCTGATGATTTCAGTACAAGCACGGCTTCTCATGCCAGTGGAATCCTCAAATGTTCTATCAAAGGAAAGTACATTCTTGGGTTGATTATTTGCTTGCCTGTGATTCAAAGTTTGGAATGCTTGAACAAAGTACTTCAGGAATTAAACGCAACTATTTCAACTAGTTCTACTCCTAAGGATACTGATAAGAAGCACCTTCAATAATTCCAATGCGCAGAAAAATTCCACGAATGATTTACAAAGGGATAGAAGCAAATCAAAAACTTTAATCTAAAGTCATTGTATAAACCATGGCAATGACAAATTCCCCAAAGAATCGACCCTGATAACACAACACAATATAATGCTAAATCACCTGAAGAATTATTTCGTATAGAGTACTTGAAAATGATGGATTCTGCTTTGTGTAAATTAGATTAATATATCTCTTCTGCCGATCTTAGGAATATAAAGGGTTGAGTGATATGCTTTTGACAAGAACAGTTCAATCAGAAATTATTCAGAGCTTTCCACAGATCTTGAAGGAAAGTTACGATTTTTCAACCAGCAGTTCAACGTGCATTACTGGAAGAATATAGATGTATCTTAAAAGAAATGTCTCCGGAAGTTCGTCGCATGTTCCCACATGCTGAGAGGCTTCTTTGTCTTTTTTCTTTTCCTTTTTTTGCCTCACCTGCAAGTTCTTATGAAGCAGAAAGGTCTTTTAGTGCATAATATGTCCATGCTGTAGCTGTTATTTTATAGTTGTAAAGATAAAGGCAAAATGATCAAAGATATTTTCATAAAACATTGTACTGTGATTTAGCATACGTTAATTATATGAAGAATAATGGGCTAATACCACTTATAAATGACAAAAATATGAAAAACTATAGCGCAGATAGCCCTCGTGTAGCTTTGCGCGAAATTCGGTGATGACTAGCTGCCTTCCCTCTAGTCTTACACTGCTAAATTATGGACGGCCCACTTTTTTACTAACGAATAGAGGAATTGACCGTCACATTATAACGTCCCCACGGCTGAAAGGGTGAGCATGTTTGGTGTGAGGGGATTCGAACCCGCGACCCTCGGATTGCGAATCGAGTGCCCTAACCACCTGGCCATTCCGGGCCCAGTCGTCTGCTATTAACTCTTATTATAACAAAACTGAACAATAATAAAATATTCACCCACAAAAATAAATTAATCAATAATATCTAAACTAAACAGTCTTTTATCATGACACAGAGAAAGATCATGAATCAAAACTGAATTTTAGTATTGCTTCATATTTTATAGGTATTGTGATGCCACCAAAAGTACAACTCTAGAAAAGACAGTTTTAGTGACAGAAATTGGTTTTAGCAATATGTTATGTTATCATTTAAATTATGTACCTGCTACATTTAAATGACTAATGGAAAATCCTCTCTCTCTGAATAACTGTGAAATGTCATATATATCTATTTAGATGACATAATCACACATGTTTGTCAATAATGCCTGTCATGAGCAAAAAAAAAGAAGGCTATTGAATTCAATGAGGAAAGAGAACATTAAACTGGGTTTCAAGAAGCGTCAGTTGGTCTGTCAACAGATGACAATCCAAAAAACATAGTTAATGATGAAGAAGTGTCCAAAGTCCTAAGCAAAATTGAATCTACTCAGAATTAGTCAATACTACAGAAAATTTGTGGGGTCAGAGGTTTTCTTGAACTAGGCTCCTCGTTTTCTACACAAACTACTGGAAAACCCGCAGTGGACACAGCAGATAGTCCAGTGAAGCTTTGTTCTAAAAGAAAGAATCAAACAAATCTAAATATGTTCTTTTGGAGTACTGATTGTGAATAAGAATTGAACAAACAGAAGAAAGAAATCGCACTTGCATTAGCATACCCAGCTACTGAAGAGCCACTCACAATAGATACAGCTGACAGTGATTTTGAAGTGGGATCGGTATTATCATACTAAAGAACATATAATTTAGATGTTTGTGTTCTTGTTTTGCAAGGGTTGATGTCACTTAATGAAAACGTGGTGTAATGGCTAGAACCTTCTTGAAAATTTAAGAAACGATTGGAGCAGTATGAAAACGCGGTTAGACTAGAGTACTAATGATTGATTATTGAGTTAACGAATATATTAGTCAGTTTTTCTGTTACTGTATGACAGATATTCAGTTAGTTCAGTTTTGTGAATACGTAGCTTGTGTTTCAACGAAATAGTAGAGATACGAGAAGAACTGTACTTATGAGAAAATGATTGAATATACGTGAAATTGTTGTATTAGCATCTACTGTAAACTCAGGCCCATCAGTGCCATTGGTAAAGCTAACTTGTAGAAGGTCAAGAATATAATGATTTCTATTATCTGAAAATTCTGAAGAGTAAGAGTTCACATGGCTGTATGGATGCACCGTATTTCAGATTTGACCTATGCTATATACAGCGGTTGGGTTATATGATCTAGCAAATTTTACCTAGATATATATATCACTGCTAATGTAGATCTTTTTCTTCAGATACCTTTCCTTCTATCGTACATTCTACTGTTTCCAATCTGTAGATTTTGCTGTCTAATTTCCTTTATGTCTAAATGTATGTTACTAGTTTTATTTGGGGAATTTGAAATTTATGTTTCTATGTATATCTATAGATATGGAATGTAAATCATATATGTCTGTGGGTTGTTTTTTATACATTAAGTTCAGTATGTAAATATTTCATCATTTTTCTAAATATATTTGTACTGCGCCGTACTTGAAGACAAGAGAACATCGGTTACACTTTTATTACTCTAAACTAAACTTGAACAAAGACATGAATCATCAAATACTCTATCAGTATTTGGTTTTAGATTATTATTTTTTATGTCTGCCTTTACAACTCATAGAAGATCAGGAAGTAAAGACTGTATTGCTATCTGTGCTGTACCCACCACGGGTATCGAAACCCGATGTTTAGCATTATAAGCTTTCAGACTTACCGCTAAGTCATCGAGGGGGAGTCGAAAGACAGAATACAAATGGATGCAACTTTGAAAGTTACATCATATTATAGTAGTTGTACCAGTGACTTGTTAGGTCCTGTTTGTTGTTGTTGTTTTACATTTAGTTTTACAAAACTTTTTAATACTGATTAGATTAATAGTATGCATAAAATTATGCAAAATATAGTCAAATAGAAATTGAAATGGATAATGTTCAAGATAACTTATATTTTAAGAATGTTTCTAAACTATGAATTGACAGGTAACGTACACTCGAAAGATTATCGTATCACCGTACTTGTATACCTTTTGATATTAATAATATTTGCGTTAGTGGTCATTTCGAAAGTAACAGTTCTTATCTATAATATTTTCTTTTTATCAGTAATACATATTTCATTAAGCTTCTGATTGTCTTTACCAAATTTATCAGTATTGGTTTGGAGTAATAAAGACTAGTAGTGGATATTGCTACTTCGACGAACAGCTTATATCGTGAAATACAAGGACTGATTTGGCTACCTAAATTCAATCTTACTTCTCTTCTCCAAATATTCAAGGATGTGTAATTTTCAGTGATGATTTTTTAATTAAATGATTTAAAAAATTATTTAACTAAATGTTTAGAGATGCATGATGTTTACTTGTGACGATCATTAACTATATAATTTTAAGCCTTACTCCAACTATCCAAGGATGTTTGATGTTTTAGTGTGGTGACATCTGAAACAATTTTAATTATTATCTTTCCAATTACAGTGATAAAATCCAGGCTCGTGGTGAACAGAGCACAGATTCTGTAGCTATATGCTGAGACAAACAAGCATTACTCTTCTAAGTCTTCGAGGCTGCTAGATTTATTTTTCCATGCAAGATGTTTGATTTTCTTGCAGCGTTCTCTCTTCATTTAAAATTTTCGTGACGAAGTTTTGTATATCTTTTTTTTTTGTTTTTGCAGATTATCGAGGAGAAGCAATTCGCATGTATCGAAAAGATTAAGACGACCGGCTACACATATATGGCTGCCTCCGGCCTGACCTCTGCTTCTACCGACCTGGATTCACAGACACATATAACAGCTATGGCAGACTTTGCTATCCGCCTCAAGGAACAGCTGGACTATGTTAATGAACATTCCTTCAACAACTTTAAAATTCGAATTGGTAAGAGTGAATCAGGCATGCAACATTTTTTATACTAAAAGAGACAAAAGGCTATCAAAGATAACTATAATTTCATGGCTTATATTATGAACCTGTCTCTGTAGCCAGAGTACGAAGTAATACTTCTACAATCTAATTTTTAACAGTCTTTAGGAAACCGCTCTTTTGTTTTCTCTTATTTACTTGATCACTGGTTCCAAACCTGGGGGAGATGCCCCCTTGGGGATGTCTCAAACATGAATGGGAGTCTACCATGCCTGACTCCCTGTAAGGTTTGACTGTTTGATTCACTGCTCTTTTCTGGATTGCTGGTTTTCAAACCTAGGGGAGACGCCCCCTTGGGGATGTCTCAAACATGAATGGGAGTCTACCATGTCTGACTCCCTGTGAGGTTTGACGATTTCAGTAACTGCTCTTTTCTAGCCTGAACACGCGCACATGTGTGTGTTTGTATATATATATATATATAAAATACGGGGGTGAGGAAGGCAGATTTTTATATAGTTTCATGGGGGTGGCCAAATAACAATATCAAAATTACAAAAATAATGATCAACCTTTTTCATTTTGTGCGTTACAAAATATTTTGTTGTTTGCAATTAAATTACCTATGATAATATGGTCTACATGTAATTTAGTTTTGATTTCTCTATAAGTGAAATAATGTAGACTATCGAAATGAGTTTTATTAGCTGTTGTCTCTTTTATTAAAACTGCAAGTGTGTGTACCAGTGGAAGGATTCAAACCGTAGATTTAGATTTTGTTCAAAAAAATATGAAGTAGGGTTCGTTGTAGTATTGTTACAAAAATGTTATTAAAGTGTATTTCTCAAATAAAAGAAATCAAATTCTGAGTAGAAGAGCTTGCCTTCCACCTACAGAGACATTTATTATATTTGTAAGATAACTGTGCGTTATCATATATTTTTCGTTTACACCCACATAAAAACTTTTTAAGTGTTTCTCTTGAAATGTGACAGAAGTTTCAAAGGTAATTCTCTAGTATCAATTTACATTTTTCGTTTGTTCAGAAAGCTGGCCGGTTGCACCACCTCTAGTCAGCACTTCAAAATAGAGATCGCTGGCATATAGCCTTATATAGTATCTTTAACATAAAACAAAACAAACAAATAATCAGGGAGAGGCAAACAAAATAATATTCCTTTCTTAGAACAACCACACGTATTAATCCTTGATTAAATTACACAGCTGATATCAGTGGTTCAACTGTTTAAATATCTTGGTGACATTATCAGGTACGGGACCTAATAATTATAATAAAAGTTACTTTATCTGCGAAGGGCTTAGCATGGTCTGACGTTAGGGCTCTCAACTCTCAATCTGAAACGGTTAATTCCACCATTTGATTAGAGTAGCTCAAGTGTTTGCGGTGGGTGCTGTTGACTAGCTGCATTCCATTTAATCTATCACTCCGAAATTAGGGACGTCTAGTCCAGATATCCCACGAGTAGCTTTGTCCAAAATTCAACAAAACCAAACAATTATCTGCAGATGTTTGTTTGGTTTTTTTTTACCAGAGTTTGGGCATTCTACGTCATTTGTAAGTCACATTCATGATAATTCTTTTACAATTTACAGTACTGAAATTACTTGAAACTTTAAAAAAAACAATTAATGGTGGCGATACTTATGCTTTTTTTAAATATATTTTTTGTGTTTTTTGTTGTGTTTTTTTTTTTGCAAAAGGCTTTTATCAAAACTGAGTCTCAAATAATGCAAATTACTGTAAGAACTTATAGACCGCGTTAGCAAGTTTGTTTCTCCATTCTTGTTGTTTTCTATAGGTTTAAATGTCGGCCCTGTAGTTGCTGGTGTGATAGGAGCCAAAAAACCTCAGTACGACATTTGGGGTAACGCTGTAAACGTTGCTAGCCGTATGGACAGTACCGGTGAGATGGGAAAGATTCAGGTTTGTGTGAGACGACTATTTCTAAGAATTATTATTGCTAGTAATTACAGACGTTGTGACAGCTGGTAGTGCTTGCTTTCATTACGACAATGCATGCTTTACATTAGAACTGTTGATGATTTTGAAATAATTTCTGAAAAACGTGTACAGAAAGCTACATGAGCAATAATAGTTTCATAAATATATAAGTTGTAGTTCTGATAGCAAACAAACAGAATGTTTGATCGATATATAGAGGTAAGCTATAGAGTAATAACACAAGATGTAACCTATCTTTTTGTTGCCCTCTTCTACTCTAAAGTAAATTCAGTTTTGAGTGATTGTTTGCTTGATATAAAATTTCCTAAGTATAGTTAAGATAAACAAAGGTTTTGCTTTGAAAATTAAAACTTAATGTAAAGATTAGCGTGAAATAGTTAATTGAGAACACAAAATAAAATATATTAAGATCACCTACCTTTTTCACATTTCAAAGCATGACCCCTACAGTACACACTTGCTCTTTGTTTGGATGACTAACTTTGTCTGTTTAGACTTCATATAGGCTTGCGTCAGGCTTAGCCTAGAGGTAAACATGCCGAACTATGAATCTTGAGTGTTTCACGCTTCGCACTTAGGTATTGTGCGTGCGTTATAAGAGAGATGGTCAAATCTAATAATTGGCGGTTGGTGCAATGATTAGCTGCCTTCCCTCTTGTTTATCAGTTTAAAATTAGGAATGACTAGTGCGAATATTCGAAACAAAGAAACTATATGGGTTTACAAAGTAGAAATGTTTGGGAGTCATCTCTACGTGATTAGAAGTGAATGTGTCACAGTAAGATTAATGGAAGGTTTGCACATGTTATCTTGATAACTTTAGGTCCAGATTCTTAGAGTGTAGCTATATTATGCATTTGCTCTAACATCTGCTTGCTTAGTTGTGGCCCGTTGAAAATAAACTGTCTTCAAAAACAGAAATTTTTTTTTTATTCTTTACAATTAATATGTTGACTTCTATTAGGTCTCAAAAGCAAATTTATTAAACATTCCTGCACTCTCAGTTTCCTTTTTAAATATTATATTATCTTAAATTTTCAAAGTCTTTCTTGCGTTGTCTTTGGTATTACAGGTTACACATGACGTCTACGTAGTCTTGAAACAACATGGTTATAGACTGGAATGTCGAGGGTATACGAAAGTGAAAGGAAAAGGAGAAATGGTAACGTATTTTCTAGAAGAAGGAAAGTCCTGAAAGAAGGAAAGCAGTGTCTCAAAAATGTTAAATTATTCAAGATTTTTATCTACATGTGTCTTCATTTCTTTCTCAGAAGTGTCCATTTTGCCAAATGAGGAGAAAGACTTAGTTCGACCATGTGTCGTCCGACGTAGTTTAGTTCTTTAAACGTGTAAGGTATAAAGAAGGTATATTTAAAGAGTAAATATTAAGATGTTATAATATACATAAAAGTAATACTAATGAATTGTAACTACTTTCGTAATATATTTACTGTGGAAGTAGCAAGTGAATTTCTTAAGTAAATGACAGATCTAAATAACGTTGATCTCACCTTGTAGAATATTGCCGAATTTCTACGAAAGGAGGCGTCTTAGTTAAAGTATTTTGTGAAGGTGTTTATTATTATGAACATTTTCATAGATAAGTGTCTATTGTATTTTGTTTTACCAGTTATTTTAAAAAACGTGTGTTGAAGAAATGTATGTTCTTTCCATTGTAGTCGATATTTAACCTCCAGGAAACTTCTACTCTTTAAAAAGACGCTTAAATTATAAATTTTAGGAAACAAAATATTCGTAAATTTACCTGTATACTGGTGATAATATACCGCTATGATGTTCTCTTAATACTGATTCTTAATCCTTTTCTGCACTAGTATGTATGAATCAAAATTTATAGGAAGCTAACTGAATTATATTTATCTAGATATCAGTTTACAATTAATTAGCATTTTGTGATTTCCTTGAAAGCGTGTTGATTCCTGAGTCTTAATGCTTCTTTGATAATCAAATTTTCCTGCACCCACAAATATTTTATTTATCATATTTTCGTCATTATTAGTAGACTTGAACTAGAATATATTCTAAATGATGTGTAAACTCTTACAGAATCAGTAGTCTCCAAAAGAGTTGGTCAAAAGTTTCATAGCTGTGATAACTGATGAAACAACAAACATGAAATAGAGAAAGCTAGGATTCTGAGTTTAGACATAGCATCTCTTCCCGCTCTATTCTAGAAATGGATAGGAAGAGTAGTAGTTACTCCAAGTGTCATCAGATACTGTAACTTGTTATCATTTTTGTACAGTTCCTGCAACAGTCAAGCTATCTCTTTCTTTCATTTTACATTCTTACATGAATGGAAATTTGTTTGTAAAGAAGTTCCTGATACGTTTAAACAGTATTATACGTTCAGGATTTCAATTTACAGTATACTTGTCTCTTCATTTAGATACAGCAGTTACTATAATTTATTGAAATGGGTGAATCATTTTGAGAGTTGATATTAAGAACTGAACAGAATATAAATATTAAAAGAAAAACTGTTTGTTACTAATGGCTTGATTTGGTTCACCCGTTATGCTGATGTCATTGATCACATTATAGAGTTAGGAAATTATTTTTTACAGTTAGTGACTAACTGTCATATCATGTAGTAGTTGTATAAGGACTAGAATAAACTTTTGACCCTACTATGGCAGTACCCCTGACCGAAACCATATCAAATAATCCAAGATGGTGGCCCTCTATTGGTGGAACACATTCCATCATGTTTCAATCATATTATACCCATCTTGTGGATTAAGCATCCATTTCATGGTAAAGTAAAAAATACTCCTCAGTAGCAGCATCCACTATTTATAAGTAGGTTGTTTTAGTTAGTAAGATAAATTAGTATTCTCTAGATCAGGTAGGACCATATAAGAAAAGTGGCACGTGTTTGTTTTTATCAAAAAACCCCCTGTAAGCTGGAAAGTGGCTTGGGTATGTCGTGGAGCCTATCCTACCCAAGTGAACCAAGAATCTTTAATACAGTCGTAAAAGTAAATATGGATGAGATCATCGTACTAAAACTGTTTAAAACGATAAGTAAATAAAGCCCATTAACTGCGCTATATTCAATTTTAAGACTAACGCCTATATTTAAAAGCGAATGAAGTATTATACGAGTTGTACTGTAAAAGTAAAATGCCAACGATCAGTATTATAATAAACTTTAAGATAGATTTTTTAGCGTGTTTTTAAATTAAACTATCAATATAAACCTCTACATTTTTGAAAATTAATTAGCTTCGATTTGAGAATCGGAGTTCAACTACTTACAAAATATGCATAATTCAAAACAATTTGGGGTTCCTTGTATGTATTACTCAAAATAGTTTCCTATCAAAATTGGCCGTTAAGTTTCTTGAGTATGAGTTTTTATTTTTATTATATTTTTAACTGCCAAACTTGATGGTTATACCATTACATCATTTTTTTTCCTTAACAACATATGAATTATTTTAAGTTTTAGTTTTATACATACTATCGAAATTTATTTTAATTGTAGCCGTTTATTTTTATATCTTTAAGACAATAGGGTCACTTTCAAAATTAAAATTATGTCTGTCGTTGTTTATCGAAAAAAACAACAACAAACAGTGACGTATTTTGAAAGGTAAACACGCGCAGTTCTTGTTTAAGTTTAGTTTTTTACTTCTACAAAGCCCACAGTGGCACAACGATATGTCCGCGGACTTACAATGCTAGAAACCGATTTCGATGCCCGTGGTGGGCACAGCACAGATAGCCCATTGTGTAGCTTTATGCTTAACTACAAACAAACAGAAAAGAACTAACTGCGACAGATCCACTTTTTCTTTTTTTTTTTCGTCTTAACCATTTCAAAACCTACAAGAAAACCATTGTCCATTAGTTTGAATTTGCTACTGAACAAAATTACTGGTGAATCCTTCTATTAAATAATAGGCTTAAAGAAACAGCTGAATATTAAGTGTTATCTATATGGGTTAGAAGTTTTTCGTAGTTGATAATCAACCTGTCACGTTGGTGATTTCAATATTGATAAATGTTGACTTGAAGATACTAAAATGCTGACGAAAAGTGTAGTCTTCTTGAGGTAGAAATATTAAATATATGACAGTTGTACGCCTTCAAAATTTATGGAATTTAATGTCTTAGTTGTTTTATTATTTAAGTTTAATGGGTAAAGTAATATATATGTATTTAAAATCTTAATTGCATATTAAAATTGAAAATATAATCCGAAATTCCAGAGTTAAGTAAGAATAAAACATATTTTCATTCCATTTCTCTTCTGTTGAAGTTTCACTTCGAGTTATACATATTTTAAACATTTCACTCTTAAAAGTAGCGAAAGGAGTTCTAAAAATATTGCCTCCAAATATGTACTTCTTTACTTTATCAAGAAAACTAAATTTGCGTATTACTTTTAAATATCCAATATGTATTTATGTGCATCAAACTCAGACCAACTGTTTTTATAATTTCCTTTTATAAATCTATCTACGCACGTGGACATAAAAAAACTATTTTTTCTAGAATTATATCGAAGATGGGCAAAAAGTGTTTGGACCATGCTAGAGACAATTAACATTTCACAGACTATATGTCGACCGTTAAATAGCAGATAAGTTATTAGAAATAAATTATTTATTATTCAGATAAAAAAACGAAGTCTAATTTTAATATAAATAAATCTTTTAAGGAATACAGAGTATTATGAAACATATTTGTATGATTAGTTAGGGGTCAACATGGATTGCCCAAGAGAAAAACTGAACGTGCAGTGAAAATATCCACATGTTCAGGAATTAAATCTTGATTAGAATGTTATATTTTGAAAACAAAAATTGCCATAAACTACAAGATGCCAAGCTTCAATGTTTGAAATCTTGAGTGTTTGTAAATTATGTGTGATGGTGTGAATCTCATGTTTTCAAAGTGATGAACATTATAGTTTGTTCAGCTGTGAGCTGTTATATGCTCAAACAGTTTTTGTGTTGGTTGTTTACAACAGAAGTGAAGATTTTGTAATTACACTTTGGTCTCTAGTTTTCATAACTAATGTTATCTGTAGTTTTTCTAGATACTTTTGTTGCCAAAAAAGAAACTTACACCAAATCTCTTGGTATGATAATGTATACTCAATTGAGAAGATTTTTGAACTGTTCGTGAAATAAGTTTGAAACAGTATTAAAACAAACAGTGGTAGATTCCTTGTTACATTTCCTGTTATCACTAACCTTTCAATAATTGTTTTATAATTTACATTTTACTCTTGGTTATCTTTCCTGTTTTTGACTGAATCTTAAAAAAGTAAAAAAAAAACAAGAACAATAAATCATCTACATTGTGAATATTCTCTAAAATGGATTAAATGTTTAAAAAATATTTTTTGAACAAAAATAATTGCTGCTTTATTTATTTGTTTTAGTAAGGAAATTACAAAATAGGAGTAATACGTGTTTAATTGTAAGCGCATTATTATTGGTGTATTAGTGCCAAATTTGACTGTGTATACATTTCAGAGACTAAAGTTGTCCATAGTCTTTCATTTGTGTTCATTGTTTGATACAGTAGTACCCAGTGTTTCATAATTTGTGTTCATTGTTTGATAAACCAAATTTTCATACAAAATTCACACAGAGATACAAACTTCCAAATTGTTCAAGCACGTGACAGACGGCCGTGTATTATGTTTCTTGTTTCTTAAGGTAATTTAATCTTAACTATGAAATACAGCGGGTTTCTCAGTAATGAATGTAAGTAAAATAGACTTTTTTTTTTAAATGCGTAGTAGATAAAGCTACAAAAGCTGACTGATATCTTATAGGAAATTTGGTATGATTTCCCGTGGGCAAGTTTTTATGTAATATATAACACGTTGTTCAACAAGCGCTGTTTGTATGAACAGATAAAACACGATAAGGAAAGGACTTGATCCAATAGAGGATATACTAGGTAAGTTATAAAGCTGTTGTTTTTATATATATATTTATATATGACGTGTATACGGGTTTGTGTTCCCTCATTGAACCATAAAGTATTTCCTGTAGTAAAGAAATTATGTTGATAAAAGAGCGAAACACAAAATTTATTCTTAAATAGAAAATTATTACAAAGTGTTTGATATTTTCGTCTATTAAGTAAATAAAATAACACTGAATGTCATGCCTCTAAATTATGCCAGTAATGTTTCTATATCCAGTTATCAGAGGCGCCTGCAATATAAAACGGTACATCTGATAAGATATCAGATTTACTGAACCTTGAACTGAGATTAAATCACCTTAAAGATTTAAAGAGAAACAACTACCCCCCCCCCAAAAAAAATACGACGTTATGGATCATATTTGAAATGTTTTTTGTTTTTTTTTATCTGGATATTTCTTGCGTATGTACATGTATACATTCCTATATATATTCGTAAGTCGTTGTTGCTTTCGCACTAAATGCTATAATCACTTCGTGTCTGTAAAATATCGCTGATGTTGACCACTTGTGGTTGGAAAATAAAATAAACTTGTGTTATTTTGAATTGTATCTCTTACATGTATGCGAGTTGTTTTGTTTTTACAATAACAAACTTATAAATTTTATAAAATACGAAGTAATTTGAACCTTAGTAGAATCTGCAAGATGATTTGTGTTTTATTTTATAAATATTCTTTTTTTGCAAAATAAATATATATCACTTCACTTACAAAGAGCTAACTCGAATTCTCAAGTTTGTGTAAAAAAATGTTTCGGTTTTAGTAAATTAAATACAAAAAAATAGCCACTGTATTTAGCCTTGGCGAATCTCTTGCGCTGTAAACTGGAATGTGCAAGTTTGAACTGGAATATTACACAAAAATTTGGAGCTGTGAACTGTCTATGTGAACCGCTTTAGCATGCTGATTACCATTGGTTTACTTCCCGTTAGTTTAAGTTATAGTTAATACTAGTTACATAGCAATTGAGTTATGTAGTATGACACTACGTCATTAACTTAGTTACAGTGGTTTTTGTTAATTAGTACATATGCCACATTAACGCATGCTGTAACTTTTTTGATAATTCTTACTCTTATTATCATTGAACTTTCTAGAGGATTATCGTATTTCCTTTTCAGCTTTTACAGACGATTTAACATTATTTATTACTTCCTGCTTCTTGTGTTTTAAGTGGCTAAGGATAGCTATAATGGCATAATGTAGTGTGTACTCTTGGTAAATTCTTACTACTTGACTTAACATAGTCTAAAGTCTAAACAGTAATAAGCATCATAGATATTTGTATTAGATGCCACGTTCCTCTAACGTTGCACTGACAGTGTTGTTTCGTTGGTCTTCATTGGTCACAAGTGGTTTGGGAGAGTTGGGGGAAGTTCAGGTTGGTGTTACATTTTTCAAAGAAAATTAATCCTACCAGAATAGTTCAACCAAAAGCTATTGTTTATATATATGTTTCCTAAATAAGATACGATATATATTTCTTCATTGTTACCTTCACTAACAGTATTGGCTAGACTGTTAATATATATATATCTAATTTTATTACTTTTTAATTCTGTTTTTGCCCTCCAGTGGCTTAATGGTGATTCTGAGAGCTCACATAGCTAAAAACCGGATTTTAATACTCGTCATTAGCACAGCACATATATCCCCTTGTGTAGCTTTACGCTTAACAACAAACAAACAAAAAAATGTCTTCTTTTTTATTATTCTATTTTCATTATAGAGATTACTTTGCTTTGTTCTCTTAGGCCCAGCATGGTCAGGTGGTTAGGGCGCTTGACTCGCAATCTGGGGTTCGCGGGTTTGAATCCCCGTCCCACCAAACATGCTCGCCCTTTCAGCCGTGGGGACGTTATAATGTGACGGTCAATCCCACTATTCGTTGGTAAAAGAGTATCCCAAGAGTTGGCGGTGGGTGGGGATGACTGGCTGCCTTCCCTCTAGTCTTACACTGCTAAATTAGGGACGGCTAGCACAGATAGCCCTCATGTAGCTTTGCGCGAAACTCAAAAAACAAACAATCTTGTTGTCTTGATATTTAATATTTTGTTTAGGACTAACCTAAATCTACTAAGTTAATATAATATCGTGATATATTATTGTGATTAAGGCTAAAATATCGTTAACTCTTTATCAGTAGGAGCTTAAACAAATTATATTTAATTAATTATACTTATTAGCAGATGGACGTTTTAGTTTCGCTCTAAGTAAGTAGCTTGCTCTAATATGAAGTTGATATTAATAAATAATAAAAAAATTAAAAAATAATGTTCGAGTGCATTTAAAGAATCTTGATAAACTGCTGCATTGGATACTAACAAGAATCATGGTCTCAGTATACAGTTAAGATTACTGTCCCCCATTGGGACAGCAGTGAGTTTTCGGACTTACAATGCTAAAATACGGATAGCCCAATATGGCTTTGCTCTAAAACTAACAAACAATTAAAACTGCTACACACATTCCAGAGCCATGACTATCAACATGTCACTGAGAAGGTGAAAGTTCAAGTAACGCTGAAGTGTTGGTATTTGATTTTAAATCTCGTGTTTTTAACAAGTATTTCAAACACAAATATGTTTCAATAAATATAAGTATTTTACTCTTTCTGACACAAACTTTTACTCACGATTAACTCGATTGTATTATCTAATCATTCTTTGGTCAAAGCCAAAAATGATAATAGATGTTTCAGCAAATGAACATTGCTGGTTATTATATGGTTGACATCGCAGAGAATATTCCAGATAAGATTTATAAATGGCACCATTGCA